GAAAACGATAGTTTAGTCTAAATGCATTTTTATTACCATAACTATTAACTAAATGTGGTGTCGGATTACACGTTCTAATAACTTAGAATTTGCCCTTTTCCTACAAATATATAAGACATTTAGGTAGATACAGTTACTAAACATTAAGAAAACTGTCTTTCGTTATCAAAGTTTGAATATTCGTCATATAAAGCGTTTGGTATCATTAGATGGTCCGTATAAGGAATTATTTGCAGTCGCTGGAATATGAGGTTATCATAAAAGTGAGTCTTTAATGCCAATGCATTATATTTGAACGAAACCGTACTCGAGTTTTGTTTACCGCGTACAGCATTACCTGGGTGTGGTTTTGTTTCGTCTTTAGCTATTTCATAATACTGAGTTAAATCACACATTGATATACGACGCAAATCCTTGCAATGAGAAACCATATATGAAAGGATGCGATATGTTTAAGCTCTTCCGTGTAATTATTATTGTGTGACACATTCATGTACGAACCTGTTTCGTACAGTATTTCTGATGAACTCGTTTAATATTTAAGGAAGCAAATTCATATTCGTGCTGGCTTTGGATGGTGAATCGTAAAACTGTAATTGGCTTCGTGTAAATGGTTGCTGGCTTCATGTAAATGGTTGCTGGCTTCGTGTAATGGTTGCTGGCTTCGTGTAAATGGTTGCTGGCTTCGTGTAGATGGTTGCTGCAGTCGATCGTGACGTTGGTTAGTTTGACGGTGTTGGTTTTCTCTCAGTAAGAGACATATCATTTGGTACCAACCGGTCTGCAAGGTGTATGAATACTCTCAAGGCTCTCGAGGAATCCTTTAATAGTTTGGAGCGGCGGGCCATCCGGGTAGCTCTTTGACCATTCGACGAGAGCCGTGGAACCGGAAATACTTCGCGATCGTCAGTTGTCAAATCAGTATTCAATATCGCTATGAGGGAAATTAATAATTAGTTATCAGTATTAGAATGAAAATAATGCATATATTTCTTATTTGAACAAGAAAGATTATTCGTAATTGGTGACAAAATCATACCCTATTCAAGACTGAACATTCTATACTTTGATAAGGTTGGTGATAGATAAATCATTTTCATTTTTGTGTTTACATTCTGAAAAATAATAATCTATGGTGATACATTTATATATCAATCATATTTGTTCATAAGTGTCAAACACGGATTCTTTTTTTTTACTTTTTTTGTTTACTCGTTAAAGTTACATGAACTGATTAGTTAGGGACGGATATCATTTCCTTACATCAGATACGCATCATTCTGTTAATCCAGTGTTGGACTTCACACGCACGAGTATGGTATCAGATTTGTTCATCGTTAAATTGCATTATAAATAAACATCTCATTCACGAAATTGCTTTCAGTTCCTTGGCTAAATCGAATCCCGACCATCGTTCATACTGTTACTAATGATTTGGAACCAATTCCTTACGCTGTTCAATAGATATTATTTGCAATGAAGCATATGATGGTATGCATTGTCTATATCTTCACCACAATCACACAATGAGTTATCTCTCAGTGATTAGAATATAAATTGATATATAAATCATTAATTATTTATAGTTCTGGTATACAAAACAGATGATTTACTGTTAACAACCAGAAAAGTATTTAATAGCACAAAAAGAAAACTTAAATTTAGTTAGTGGTATTGTAAGGTTAACTGACTATTATGAAAAAAGATCAGACAAATCTACCAAGATTTAGAAAACTGTTAATAGAGTTAAACATATTAAACCAAACAGTTAAGACACATGCTAAATGCTTCCAATAATACGAATACAGAACTGAATGGTACCAGATAGTCATGCAAACAGTCTATGATGGTAGGATTGAAAACTGAAGGGGACAAAAAGAGGACGAACTGAGTAAAACTTGTGTAGAGTAGGGTTATGATGGTAATGAATTTGATGATGATGTTGTTGATGATGATAATTATCATCCTGTCGCACCGTCCAATGCGATCCTAAACTATTGCTTGCAAGTTAGAATCTGAATAAGAATGCTACTAAATGGCAAGAGATATTAACCAAACTGAGACGATTTTGCAAAACAAAACAACAAACAAAACAACCAAACAAAATTTTAGTAACAGTTCAACATTGTTTAAGAATAAATTATTTTGAAAATAAACGTTTTGTTTCGCAGAATAGGACGACACGCAGAATAGACCGATACGGTGGTATAAATAATGACACCCCCCAAAGTAAACAATCGTTTATAAGTAATAATCTTATAAGTTCCAATATTGAACCTTATAAGATACTTTTGAAATTGTGCATTCGATTTTCGTCTTCTCAGAAAACACTAAGAACATGATTTACCTAGGGTGACAATGTTTAGAAGAAATATGTCGCCTAAGTGTTTGTCTACTGTTTTATCAAGTTTGGTGCTTTGTTAACAGCTGTGATAAATGAAGATGCAAATAGCAATCAAAAGGGGCAAATCAGCATGTTTAGATAAGAAAGAAATATCGTACCTATTGTTCTCTCCATATGAAATTTGCTACAAGGTTTAATGAGAGTTGGAGTAATAGGTCCATAACAACTTTGTAAAAGTTTTGATATCTGGTGGGGTAATATGCTTTTATAGTCTTCTGTCAGGGGGCAAGTGTGATTTGTTCTTTGACAAGAACTAAATAATATTAAACAAATATTGACAGTGTTTTATCTGCGTTTGTCAGAAAAGACTTAACGAACATTATTTCAATTGGAATATGCTGACTTAGAAAACAGCGTTTATATATTCAAGCACTTATTTATGGTTTCAAGTTCTTTTCCAGAAGCAAAACTGGGTCAATTATATTTTGACAGCGAGTAAAACTACTTTGTTTACTGTTTGTGAATTCATAAATGACTCTTTGTAAGCGAAGATTGTGGTCATTTATGAATCTAATATAATAGTGATCTAGGTTCATGAAACAAATGGAAGAAATGACGCATATTCCAAAGTCTTAGAGCAAGTAACACGCAAATAATAAGAATGTAAGTTCATAAATATATTGCATTGTGATTATTTAGGCTACTGCTTTAGATAAAGAAACGAGTGAGTCTTTCCATTTTTATGTTGTAATTATTCCAGTACCAGTGGAGATGTAATTACGATCCACGATTTCCTAAAGATAATAAAAAATACCAACCAGTCTAATCTGCCAAACTATCCATTCGACAGAAAACTATAGATTCAGTTGTTTGGTATCAATATTTACGATGAACCCAATAACACTATATTCTACAGTTTGTGGTCCGTTCTGGTAACTATAGCCGAATACATATTGTTTTACCGTTGCGTTGCGTCTCGGTTTGCAAGTCTGCTAACGTTACAACCATTACTATCTGTTGCATCCGTTGCTGAGCGTTGCAGGATAAGGGTTGCGGTGCGTTACAACCATTTCATCAAATTGCAGCCTTTGCAATCAGTTTATTAAGGTACAGATTAACTATACTGATTATACACGCACACTTATAAAAAAAAGTTTAAAATTCATAAGTGGCAGAACTGTATATGTTCATTTAACATTCTTCAGGAAAATATTAACAATTGCTGCCTGAAAGCTTTGATTTAAAAATAAAAAACAACAATTACATATAGATCGGAAACTTGACAATGATAATTGTCCCAATTTTAAAATTGGTTTATGTTGTTTTTGTTTTACCTTTTTAATTACGTCCAACAGTACAAAATGTTGTGTAAACATTCTTAAGGGCCTAAATAATCGACGAATATTATTAGAGGTAGTGGCATGTTAAAAAGGAAACTATATGATGAAGTGGTATCAACTGATGGAAGAAGGAAGCATTAAGGAATGCAATCTTTAGTGTTAAAAAAACTCTTAATGTTTTGCATTAAGAGTTGCTGAATGTACTCTTTTGTAAAAAAAAAATCCATCTTAATCATGTAGCTTCTAGACTGTAATAATCAAACTAGGAAGTTTCTTTATATTTTAATTTTAAAAGCAATACTTGTGTATGATAGGTACAATTCTCGTTACCTAATATACCAGTGCACTATGTGTCATACCGTTTCTCACTTGTACTGTATATTTAATTTATTTGTTTGTCTGTTAGTTTTAAATGTTTCTTTTCTTCCGTTACATGTTATTGTAATGTAACATTGTTTGCTGGATTTGACCTTGGCCAAAATTGAGTTCATTTCAGCTAGACCTGATTGTCTTTCTCTATTTTTTATTTACTTCATTTTTGCAAATAACTAATAATAGCTTCATTATTTTTTATGTGTATAAGTCTATTCTTAGGATTTTTATTCAGGTAAACAAAGATGGAATAATTATGTTGATCAGGGCCAGGGTTTTGGAGATTCCTAAGTGAATTTTGTAGGTTATTATGTTGTAAATAAACAAGGCTCATTAGATCATTCTAGAGGATTATTTTCCATTAGGTAATGGTTGTTTTCATAAATACTAATTGTGACCCGAGGTCAAGCAGAGAACTAACTATACTTGTGACTGTAATGATGTTACCAGTAGTGCTTTAACATCTGGTACTTTAAGTTGAATTATCTTGTGACCTGTTTTAACTGATATTTTACTTTCTTCAAATTAGTGAATTCAAGTAATTATTTCTCGACAAATACAAAATTGCTCGGATAAAAGTATTGGATAACGACATTCACTGGAATTTATTCTAAATTCAAACCTGGAATAATAATTATGTGATTTAACAAGAGACTATTGACACAGTCTCTTTGGGACTTGAACTGAATTTTATTCAGGACTTTTTATTACTACGTCTTGTGTCTTTAATTATTAGATTATTGTTGGATTTAATTCGCAATACCAAGTTCTTTTTTCTCATTTTTCACTTTGTATTGTAGGGAAATAAATTATTTGTTAAATTTTTCAATGCTTGCTGTTCACTCTTTTCTGTTACTTTTTTTAAGAGCATAGACTGGTAACACTCGTAACGCATTATACATCCCTAAAGCCACTTTATTCAAATTATCCAGGAAATCAAGTCCGCTCCCATTGCCTAGTGGTTAGAGCGTCCGCCTTAGATGCGGGAGGGCGTGGGTTCGATACCCGATTGAGTCATGCCAAAGACTTACAAAAATGGTACTAACAGCTTCTTCGCTAGACTTTCAGCATTAAGAGGTTAGTGTTAGGACTGGTCAGACTGGTGTCAGGATAATGTGACCGGGTGGGATATAATGCTACATGTCTGCGGCACGATGCCCAAGTACTAGGCATCGCTATAAACTGCCACACTGCATACATTGTAGCGATATGACTTAAAAATTGTTAAAATTCCCTTTAAAATATATCCAAATCCAGCCGATCGTTCTGCCTTTGCTTTGTCCATCAGGGGGATATCAGAAAGAATGAAGCACAAAAGGAAAACGTGCGTAACACAAGCCTATAACAAGAACAGTAGGATAAATTATTTCAAAATGACGTCATTTTTAGACTTATTTGTGTTACGTCACTTCTGGATTGGGGTTACAAACAATAATAGATATAGATACAGTGTAAGACAGCTTTTATGATACCACACTCGTAATGTCGTCAAAAGGTATATATTCTCTATACCTACCATGTAGCGCTGATGGATTTAAATGGGCCCTTACTGGAACAGACTGATGGATTTAAATGGGCCCTTACTGGAACAGACCGATAGATTTAAATGGGCCCTTACTGAAACAAACTGATGGATTTAAATGGGCCCTTACTGGAACAGACTGATGGATTTAAATGTGCCCTTATTGGAACAAACTGATGGAGTTAAATGGGTCCTTACTGAAACAGACTGATGGTTTTAAATAGGTTCTTATTGGAACAGACTGATGGATTTTAATGGATCCTTACTGAAACAGACTGATGGATTTAAATGGGCCCCTACTGGAACAAACTAATGGATTTAATTGGGCCATTACTGGAACAGACTGATGAGAGTGGATCATGGGAGGTTCCTTGTTTCTTAAAATGGGACTACACCATACGTTACAATAATTAATGACTGTGATATGGTCCATATTTTAAATCTGTATTTTTAAATAAATGTGATCAGATTTGGCCTGATAATAGACACAAATTCCAAACTTTTAGAAGTAATTATAAATTTCATTAAATATTTTGTTCTGAGAATTATGTTCACTCCAGACTCGGCTAACGTGGGTAAGTGAGAAAGCCTGCCAGTAGAATCTCATGGGTCGGTGTTTATTCCTTGGGTTTTCCAGGGTTCTTCCTCCTTCATTAATACTGGCCGCCATGTATAGCCCATTTTGTGCTTAAAAATGGCGTGAAACCCTACAACAACAACAACAACAACAGTATGTTCACTTAATTTACCAAGACAAGAAAGATCAATTATATAACAGTTTGGAATTGGTGTTTCGTCTCTGAGAATATAGACGGACAGATTTTGAAATTAAAGAGTGGAGAATATTGAGAAGCTTATGAAATTGTCAATGAAATTCATTTTCTCTAGACTGTTCTGGTGATTGGTTTTAAAACGGGTAATATCCTAAACATTTCAGTACTATTTTGTAAACTAATTTCGTTAACTAAACCTCTAGAGATGTTCTAAATAGATACATGTATTTCACTATCATTACTGGTCGTGCATTAAGTCATAAATTTAAATTAGAAAAAAATAATCTCGTTATTTTGCCAAACATTGCACTACCAGAAAAGAAAGATAAATTTTCAAATTGAATTTTATTCCAGACAAATGATTGTTTACTCTTATGGGTTGTTATTACAGCAGGAAATAATAGGGCCCCAAACTATTGTTATTACTCTATGGAGGGTGAAAGCAAAACCCGCATTTGATTATTATCTATACTCGTTCTGTACACACTATACTGCCAAGTTACATTAAAGTGACCCTCAGGATTTTCCAAACAGTGGTAAGGTAATTCATTCTAGTTGTTTAACGCAGTTGTTTTTATTTGTTTTGAAAGGATAGAATTCCTTGCAATAAGGCGAGTTCAAGATAAGTACGCATTATATAGCAAACGCACGATATAAAGGTTGCAGTTCTTCGAAGTTAATAAATTTCCTTGTTTACATACCATTTTGCAAAGGAATTAAAATAGAATTCAACCATTAAATCTGTGCTTTTTCAAAATTAGAAGACGCTTTTATAAATAAAAAGTTTGCTTTTTAAACCTTAAACGAAAGTTTTCAATAAAATGCAAAAATCCCAATTTAACAAAAAATTCAATCCATACCATAATGCATTTAATTTAGATTTAGTATTATCTGGAATCCGTTAAAGACCACAATTAACGCCTCCATAATCAGTGGTGAAAGTGCCAAGTCTGATAATATTAGTATCGAAGTTTGTTTTTTCTTCACACACCTGTAATTATAAGAATGTCTTTATGCAATTATCCGAGTCTCTGATGTAATATTCTGAAATATTCGCATATGACTTTGTCAATCCGATTCTTAATCTCTTTGTGAAACTCAATGAACACTGGTTATGATTTTGCTCCACTGTTTCTAACATACCAGACTTTCGACCATTTGAACCACATTTTTCAATCATGTGATGTCTTATTTGGAATATCCATTATATTACCCACAGCAGTACTAGTGAGTAATAAAATATGCAGTTTAGCCTTCAGGTAAGAATAACGCCAAGGTCCATTTCTGTTTCGTTGTACAGTTTGTGGTTCTCGTTTAGGAAATTTAAACTTCCTTTTTTCATAAATATTAATATCTTGGATGACACCAAGGTTTAGTTATCCCCACCGTTATGCAAAGAAACCCAACACTCCTGCCATTATATGCTGTCACAAATCGACGTTAACGTGTAATATTTTATATTCTAACATTTACTTTCAAACAATGGATGTGTACCATTGTCGTAGAAACGAAAATATGACAGGGCCATCCTACATCAATCACCCAAACTTCTAAACTTTCGTTTCAGACAAAATATTTGTAGCAGCGAAGACTGCTTTTCACATTGTTAAAATTTGGCAAATTGTTACAATTTGGCAAATTATGAGATATCATTTAACAGAGCCTGCGAAATTTATTGTACTTTTCTATTCCTTGAAATTTGACAAAGTATATTAATCAACCAACTGTACAAGAGGTAATTAAGCTTTGCATTTTGTGCTAAATATACGTCGTCTGATACAAATTTGTATTCAAGAACTTTGCACTATTCTATAAAAACTAACGCTTTTCATACAGTAGACCTTGCATTTAACAGCTCTGATAGTCTAGTGGTTAGAGCGTCCGGCGCGGATGCGTGAGGGCGTGGGTTCGATCCCCGATTGAGTCAACTTCCTCGCTTGGCGCTCAGTATTAAGAGGTTAGTGCTAGGACTGGTCGGCCTTGTGTCATGATAATATGGCTGGGTGGGACATCATGTTACATGTCTGCGACATGATGCCCCAGATCTAGACATCACTATAGACTACCACACTACAGACATCGTATCAATATGACTTAAAAAATTGTTAAAGCTACGTTAAAAATCATAATCACATCGCATACTCACATAATCACAGACCTTGCAGTTAAGGAGTTGTAGTACTTTGAAAAATTAGACTGATATTCCAGCTCTTTGACAGACTGTCTCCATCTAATAACCTTCTGGAAGAGTGTGCAAAGTGTCTACTTTTTCGGCCCCTCCTCTAGATTCTTGGAAGGATATAAAAGGTCAACTATCTTTTTTAAAAATCTAGTCATTTTAAATTTGCTGACATGGTTGATATCTGTTGACAATACAGATAATACTTTTTACCTTAGTTTAAACACACAGTCGTAGCACGATGTCACGTAATATATGTAACTACTTTTGGATTAATGTCCAAGAGAAGGTCGGTGGTGTAAGGGTACGTAATAAAAAGGGTGTGGATTTGCCATCATGAACCCTGAAAGTTCTAGTTCACTCATGCCAAAGTGATACTGTAAAATCATATCAATTGAATACCATGTATAGGACTTAGTCAAACCACATATATGTCCCCTTACGTTTGTTTGATTCTGTGGTCAAATATTTAGATCTGAACAGCTTAGAAACCTTAAGTTTTCATCACTGATGTCAAATGAACATTTTTTAGAAGTAAGGTGTCATTTTGTTAGATGCAAGCGTTATGAAAAGTTAATGTAAGTTTCGGTATAATATGTAGCTTACAATAAAAATCACTTTGTTAAGAAAATGGATATGGCATTTGTAGATAACTAATATTTTTCGTTTTCGTTGTTTTTTGTTTTCAATTTTTTTCGGTTTAACATATATAATTTGAGTTATATTGCATTGAAACGTAAAATGACAGTTGGTGCCTAGATTTGTCATGATGAGTCGAATGTGAAAAATGGTTCTTTCATGAAATGTCAGTTGGTGGCTCTTCAAATATTAGAAAATAATTATTAAATGGGTCTATAGCAGTTTAGATGGACCAAAGAGAAAATTCATCCACAACTCACTTTAGGGCCGTGATTACACTGCGCATGTCCACCATCCACGATTAAAATCAGAGATCTGATTAATTTACATATATCGGACTCTCATGATTCAAATCAGAGATGTGAATACTTTGCATATGTCCAACGTCTATGATAAATTAATATAATTATTTTGCATCCATGCTTCAATCCAAAAATACAATTACTTTACATATGTCCATCTGTGTGATTAAAATCACAAATGTTATTTTTTTTGAATGTCAAACATCCATGATCGAAAACAGGGCTAAATTACTGTACATATTTCCAACATCTATGATTCAAATCAGACATATGATTACTTGGCATATGTCAAACACTCATAATTAAAATCCGAGATGTGATTACACATATATATATATATATATATATATGTATGTATATATATATATATATATATATATATATATATATATATATATATATATATATATATATATATATATATATGTATATGTATATGTATATATATATATATATATATATATATATATATGTATATATATATATATATATATATATATTAAACAATTCAGAGACGTGATTACTTTGCATGTTCAACATCAGTGATACAATTCAGAGACGTGATTACTTTATTGTTCAGCATCAGTGATACAATTCATAGATATGCTAACTTTTGTATTAATGAACCTCTGAATAAATTTATTGAGATTTGTTATTAATAGTCTTCGTGTTGAACCGAGATTTTCGTCGCTAACTGTAAAAAAAACAAACAAAAGAATTAGTATTTCTTGATTGTAACATTAGATATATACCGCAATAATAAAGGCTATTTACCGTCTCAGACTGGTTGTCGAGATCGCTTTTTATGTGGTCTGTACACGAAGAATTGTTTGTTTTTCTACTAGAATCGTTGGCTAGGATGGCCGATTGTGATCTTGAGTTATCTGGGAAAAATAATCTGGCCATATTAATAGTGTAAAAATGAGTGAGGAGTATTCCATTGTAAACACAGACACCTGATTTTGTTCCGAGCAGAGTATGAATCTAAATATTGCTGTATCTAGTAACTTTATAAATATTGATTTAAAGCGAAGAAAATGTGATTTTTGCTTCAATGTGTCTTACCAAAGAACATCATGCTTTTGTTAACAGATGTGTAGAAAATATGTGGAACCTTAATGTAAATTAGATGAAATGAGCCGGGATATGATTAATACTACTGGTGATGCCTAATGGAAATCGGATGAAATGAATGAGGGTAGGATTGATTTTATTGTTGATGCCCAAGGGCAAATGAATGAAACGAGCAGGGATAGGATTAATTTCACTGTCGATACCCAATGGAAAATGGATGAAATGAATGGGAATATGATTAATTTTACTGCTAATGGAAATAAAATTAATGGAAACAGGAATAATTTCAATTTTAAATCATGTCTTATAGGCAATAACTCTTAACACATTGTGTGCACCATAATATTTGATGTTGTTGTAGGGTTTAACGCTAATTTTAGCACAAGATAGGCTAGTATTAATGGTGGAGGAAGAACCCGGGAAAACTCCAGAAAGAACCACCGACTCACGAGAAGCTACTGGCAAGCTTTTTCACATACATTGGTCAAACCTGAGACTCGAACCCACGCAGACATAATTGAGATGGGAATGATCCGTAACGGTGAGCGCTTTAAACCACCTGGCCACTTAGTGCCCCACCATAATATTTAAAGACAATTGCAAAATTAGTTGTGATGAAAAGATTGCATTACAAATTACATCTAGCTGAAAATATAATGGGATAACAATACTTTATCAAAAATCATAAAAACACACTAGTTAAAATTACCCACAAAAGATTTATTTTGGTGATAAAATGCCCGGAATAGATCCATATTATAAAATATGCCTGCCATGCATCAAAGTCCAATTATTTATATTACGGGTTTTTATTATATGGTCTTATTTAAAGACAGGAAAGCACAGTTAATGGACATACGGATGGATAGACAAAAGTAAATATTTAATTGCACACACGGTGCCTGCATGGTGGAGCTAAGGGTTGCTGATTGGGTTGGGTTAGAAAATTGGGGGAAGGGATGGAGTGGATTTTTTTAAAAAAAAGAAGTCTTTTCCTGAATTGCATGGGTCATACACCTGTCTTATCTTTAACATTTTTCACACGGAATTGCCATTAGATATAAGCTGCACAAAAGTTCCAGTAGTCGTGTATAATCTCGTAGTGGAGATCAGAACCTTGACATTGTAACAGCATAATCCATGATACCTTCGACACATTGAAGTTCTGAAATTTATTCAATATATACCTCAAGCTTTCAGATTTTGAAATCCCCCTGAAGTGTTTGAACCACTTGGGTTGGTCCCTGTAGGCGTGGACTGCCGTAGGGTAAATATAAGCATTTGTCTTTTATAGTTTATAAGCTATGACCCAAGAGATATGTTCTGGTCTTTTTGCCCATATTTTTTGGTACGAGATATTGCCATCCTCATTTTCCACTGAAGTAAACAAAGGTATATATATATATATATATATATATATATATATATATATATATAGATATATATATATATATATATATATATATATATATATATATATATATATATATATATATATATGAAGAAAGATAGGCATCAAAGTGTTAATCTTTTTGTATCACTGTGTATTTTAAAAGCAATTTGTCATGATACATCACATACATCTTGATAGCACCATATAAAGTACTTGATACAATATTTTATATATTTTTATTTTATACTTTGAGTATACAACATATGACTAAATATCGATGTCCAGACCGTTCAGAAAGTCCCTAACCTATGTACAATAATAAAGTCCCATTGACCCCATTTAAATAGCTTTTAAATTGCCATGGGTTGTCACTATTCATGGGTTTGATTATATTTTGATTATTATGATAGTTAAGAATATGTTACTTGTATGATAAGCTACAGTTAAATGCAATCAAATTTACAAAAGTTATACATTTGTACAACCAATCAACATCTGTGTGTTTGTGTGGGAAAACGATAATTTGATGAGGTTGTGTGCTTCTTGCAATGTTCATGGAGACATAAAGGACACACGCTGGGTAAATTTAATTTGCAGAATCTGCAACAATGGTAGCAAAACAGGTGATCGTTTCAAATACACTTGGTTCTCTAATACTGAAACCATGTAATTTACTAATATATATATATATATATATATATATATATATATATATATATATATATATATATATATATATATATATATATATATATATATATATATAAGTTAATGAGAGAGAGAGAGAGAGAGAGAGAGAGAGAGAGAGAGAGAGAGAGAGAGAGAGAGAGAGAGAGTTGTTATTGTCGGGCTTAACGCCATTTTTCAGCACACGATAGGTTATACATGGCGGCCAGTATTAAAGGTAGAAGAAGAAACCGGGAAATCCACGGAAAAAACCACCGACCCATGAAAAGTTACTGGCAAGCTTTCTCTCCTATCCACATTCGCCGAATATTAGACTCGAACCCACGCAGACAGCTGTGAGATGGCAGTGATCCGTAACGGAGAGCGCTTTAAACCACTCGGCCACTCTGGGTCTCTGAGAGAGAGAGAGAGAGAGAGAGAGAGAGAGAGAGAGAGAGAGAGAGAGAGAGAGAGAGATCCACCAAAGAGTACGGAAAGTAATATTCCTTGATTCTACAGTATAATGCTTGATAATACTAGTAGAATGTTTATGAATACAACTGTATTATAATGCAGGTCAGATTTTTTTAATTCGTATTCGACTTTCTATTTAGGACCCGATTCGAATCTGTGATTCAACATCTCAGTCTAATTTTCTCTTCCACTCAGTCTAA